AAGTGTGGCCAAGGATTTTCACAGCACCGTAAAGAAGGAGAAGCTCACTTTCGTCTAATTTCTCTGCAGCAGCGCTGGCTACTGAGCAAGTCCCCTCGCCCTGCTCCAGAGCTTGTCAACAAGCCCCTCTCCACCCTGTCCTCACTGGCTTCCTGGACTCGGGGCCATTCTTCCTCCATTTGTCTATCAAACTCTACTAAGGTGCGCACTCTGTCAAGTGGAGTTTTGAAGGCTTTGCAAATATTATCTCATTTATTTCTCATAAGGATTTTATGAGTACGTTTTATTACTGTTACTAATTTTCTAAAGTAAAGAGTCCCCAAACCACACAGTTATAAAATGACAGAGCAGGGATTTGAACCCAGGGGATGCAAATCTCAGTCCCTGAATTCTGTGACATCTCTGTATTTTTCAGCCCAGCAGGTCCCTCAGGGCTGATCTTGGGGGAAGGAAACATGAGGTGGTGCTGCTCCGGTGTGCGGGAGGAAAAACTGAACACATTTAAAGGTTTGAGAACTTTACCCTGTAGTTCATCGAAAACAAGTGCTTTCATTTTTAGAGTTCTTTAGTAAGTGTTCTGATTGTTTTCCCTGAATCCTAAATTTCTTATTTACTTAGCTCAATTTTATTTAGGTTTTCAAATGTATGTGGAACTCTATCTCTGAAGGACAAACAATATGCAAGAGACACTTACTGCAATTTTTCTTTAAAATGAAGAGAAATTATAAAGTGCGCTGAGATTCGTTATTTGCCAAAATATCTAAAAATTTGGGGCAGGGGTACCATTTTGGATGCAGTTACCACTGACAAAGTATCAGCTCAGACTGCTTTCGCATTAGAGTGTGTGAAACTAAAATATTTACCTCTGAAGTCCCCAAAAGGCCAAAGGAATATGTTACAAACAACTTGACAAGGATGTTTCAGTGGCCCTGGAGTGTGGAACAAGAGTGAAAAGTAGAAATTTCGATGCAAGGCTCTAAATCAGATAAAAGTGGAAGATTGTGGATGTACTAGTCTTCCTTTTCCTAACAAATTTCTTCTAAACGTTCTCACTGCTCAGTAATCTCTTCCCTTCTCCCACCTTTGTCAACATCTGCCTTACCTGTCCAGAGGCTCTAGCTCCTTCTAACAAGTACGGACTGCAATCTCAGGTCATCAAGGTAGGGTGGAGTTTTGTAGGAAAGGAAACTGAGGCTGTGACAGAAAGCTCTTACATGTATATTCCCCTAATGAGATCCAGTGACTTTTGAATCTGATTGTCTGAATTTTCAAATAATGATGCTAGATATTTGTTGAGTATATTAATCTTTTAAATAAATCTTAATCTTAATTATCCAAACTCTTTTTAAAATGTTTTTCTTTTTTCATTAATACATGTGTCCAATGCACAGTGATTACATTCAGCTGGGGAATATATATCTAACGTCATCACTTTGTCCTCCCCTCACCCCCATCTCCTCCCCTGTCCCTCATTCCCAGTTTCCTGCCCTGTCTCCATGGAGAAACCTCCCTGCTCCTTAGCATGGCTCTTCATTTTGCTCCTTAAATTGTTTATATTTTGCATCTCTCATGTTAGAGAAAGCAAGAAATATTTAATATTTCACTTAGCATTATGGCCTCAAGATCTATCCATTTTCCTACAAATAACTAAAAATTGTCTCCTTTATGGCTAAGTAGTTTGCTAATCTTTTTTCTTTTGGTACCAGGAATCAAACTCATGACCTACACACATTCTCTTATACAGATTAATGGGCTTCATTTTGGCAGATTCATACATGCACTTAGAATACCCTGATCAACCTCCTGTTCCCCTCGTTGCCCTGTGCTTCCCCCTAGTTTCACATTGTGGGCATTTAGTGTGCATAATATAATTTTGCTCATATTCATCTTCCCCTGTACCAGCCATTACTCCCTACTCCCACTTGTCTAATAATAGCCTCT